TGCCTGGTTTTCTACCATGACTTGAAGGTTGTTTTCTTTTTTCTTTTTCTCTTTTTTTCTTTTTTAATGTCTAGAAGAGTCTGTATAAGGCTGGCATGATCTGTTCCTTGAAAGTCTGACAGAATTTGACTGTAAAACCATCTAGGATTGACCGGATAAAGAAGTTGTGGTATATTTACACAATGGAATACTACTCAGAGATAAAAAAGAATAAAATAATGCCATTTGCAGCAACATGGATGGACCTGGAGATCATCATTCTATGTGAAGTAAGCCAGAAAGAGAAAGAAAAATATCATATGATATTCATGTGTGGAATCTAAAAAAAAAGAAAAAGAAAAAAAGAGGACACTAATGAACTCATCTACAGAACAGAAACAGACTTGCAGACTTAGTAACAATCTTATTGCTACTAGGGGAAAGAGGGTGGGAAGGGATAAACTTGGGAGTTTGAGATTTGCAAATGTTAGCCACTATGTATAAAAATAGATAAAAAACAAATTTCTTCTGTAGAGCACAGGGAACTATATTCAATATCTTGTAATAACCTTTAATGAAAAAAGAATATGAAAACAACTGTATGTATGTATATGTATTACTGGGACGTTATGCTGTACACTAGAAATTGACGCACTGTAACTGACTATACTTCAATTAAAAAATTGAAAAACAAAGTTAATCCTTTCATTTTAGACCTTGTTCAAGAACTTTCTAAAAGATAAGTCTACCTTCTTAATTTTTAAGTTCACTTTTTCTTCAGCAATTCTGGATCTTGCAGTCTCTGAGTCATCTTTATAACTAGTTCTCACTGTGCTGGGCTGAACGAAAGAAGGTAGAATTTAGACTAGTTGGACATATTCTCATAATTCCTTTTTAAACTGATCTGTAATATCAACATTTCCTTGTAATCTGTTTCTTTCTTTGAAAAGTGGCATGTAGACAATTTCTATTTAATTGATGATCATCTCACCATAGTTGAAAAGTTAAAAATAGATTCAAGAAGTGTTTGAATCAATTCATGATATCCATGGGCTACGAAGGGAAGCTACAGGTGTTTGAGATATGTCCCTAACTATCTGAGTTGATGTTAGAGAGAGTGACCACCATCTCTCACAAATCATTTGATTTTTTCCAATCATTCATTTATTTACTCTTTCAAGAATCTACTATGTGCCAAGCAGAATGATATACCCTGGTGACACAAAGATGTAAAAGTCTTATCCTCTGGTGACTCACAGTCCACTTGGGGCCTGGCCATTAATGACAAATCTCAGAAATATTAAGCCATCCATACACAAAAATTAAAAAAAAATCAATACTAAGGATAGCTAACTTTCACTAAGCATTTATTATACACTAAGTAATTAACATACATGATCTCATTTAATCCCCACAACTACTGCATGGGGCAGGAATTAATAACTAAGGCTCAGACAGCTTAGACAGGCTAAGTACCTTCTCTGAAATGACATAGGTAGGAAGTAACAGAAATGGGATTTAGGCTCAGGCAACTAACTTCCAGAGCACTCAACCTTCTGAGAATGAGAAAAGTTGCTCTTGCTAATCTCTTGATAAGGACACCAGATAAAGTAAAACATTAATGGAATAAAGGAATTAACCATGAGGAAAGCAGAGGCAAATTGGGAAGATTTCAAACTATGAACCATACATACACTTTACCCACAAAGAGTAACTACAAGCAACTTATGGGATAATGTATTATTTATAAGCAAACAAGAAGTTCCTGAAAGAATCATTAGCAGGGACACAAGGTAGAAAGCTGGTTTCTTGCATTGTAAAGCTCTTCTAAACAGTGCTAGCCTCAGAAGGGGAGGGTATAGCTCTAGTGGTAGAGCACATGCATACACGAGGTCCTGGGTTCAATTCCCAGTACCTCCTCTAAAAATAAATAAATCTAATTACAACCCCTCACCAAGATAAAAATAAATAATACAATAATAAACAGTGCTAGCCTCTGAGTATTTTAAATAAAGACAGCAGGTACCCTCAAAGTACTCTGAGCTCTGTGCCATTAAAGATACAGTACTTTTTGGGTACAGTCACTGAAGGGAGAAAAGGACATAGTCCAGCCAGATTTATCCATGGCCAAAGAGAAATAAAAAGAGCCTCTCTCTCACAGATTCAGTTTGAGAACCCACTGGGAAGGACTCTGATTGGTGGCCTGGAGAGCTATGACTGCTTCACCTGGGTTATGGACCATGCTGGGACCAGGAAAGTAGAGGTGTTACTAGAGAAAGAGGATGCTGGACAGGTCAGGAACAGACTCTACAGGTATCACCGTCATCAATTCATTCAACAAATGTCTATTGAAAATCTAGGATACAGTGGGACACAGAAGTGAGTAAGACAAATTCGTAATCCCAGGGCTTAATGCCTAACGTTCAATGCAGATAGAAAAGATATCAAGTAGCTTACAGTTTAGGTGAGAAAACAAAATGATTACACAGTAAAGCAATGGTGAACAATTCTATATGGTATATAATTAGGCACTAAATTGTGCGGTGCAGATCACAAGTGATGTGGTTGTTCTAAGGAGAGGAAAATCAATACAGTAGTCACAAACCTGAATTAGGGTTTAAAGGATGGGGATGGTTTGGTTGGAAGAGGATAGCGGAAGGAATTCAAAGGAAAGAAGAGGGAATTCAGGGGAGAAGAGTACAAGTGGAGGAACGGAGACAAAAGGGTAGTCAGTGAGGAGACTGATTTGAGGAAAGCAGTGTGTATGTAGTAGGTGACAGAGCTCATACACCGAACAGCAAGGCTGGTGACCCTCCCCCCTCAATCAGAAAAATGTCAGTGGTCCATGATGCTGGAACAATCCACATGTCAGAATCTGATGGGAAATACATTGTTGTTTACCAACCCCTGACATCATGAGGGGGTGAAGGGAAGAGTGAGGTTTTCAATAGTATAAGAATAGTGGGCACCTCCACGTGTACAGAACCTTGGAGAAGGCCAATGTGGCCAGAAAGAACTGCTGGAGAGTGATCTGTAACTTGAATGTTGGACAAATTAAAACCAGTTAAAAACCTTTATTTTATTAGTTAAATTTTTAAGGAGTTTATTTAAAAAGTTTAAAAAAATTGAAGTATAGTTGATTTACATTTCAGGTGTGCAGCAAAGTGATTCAGTTATGCATATGTATTCTTTTTCAGATTCTTTGCCATTATAGGTTATTACAAGACATTGAATATAGTTCCCTGTGCTATAGTTTGTCTATTTTATATATAGTAGTGCGTATCTGTTAATCCCAAATTCCAAATTTACCCCTCTCCCTTTTCTCCGTTGGTAACTGTAATTTTGTTTTCTATGTCTGAGTCTATTTCTGTTTTGTAAATAAGTTCATTTGTATCATTTTTCTTAGATGCCACATCTAAGTGATAAGAAACCTTTTAAACTCCGTAATTTGGGAATGTCTACTTGACTTCGTGATGAAAACCTTTTCATAAATTCCCACTGCTTTAGAATGCAACCCAAATGTCTTAAAACTAGGGCATAGATGGCCTTTCTTGACCTAACCCTTGCCTGCCTTTATAGCCTCACCTTTGCTGCTAGGCTCCTGTCACAGGGAACCATGGGCATGTCTCTGAAAGCTGATTTATCTGGCTTTCTCATGCCTCTGGGTCTCCTTTTTGAGTGCCCTTTTCCTCCTCCTCCAGTTGGTTAGTTCCTATTTGTTCTTCAAGACTCAGTTTGAGTATTTTCTCTTCTAGAAGGTGTAGGATTATCGGTGTCTTATGTAGGACTTATTGGCAGGGACTTGGGTGCCAGTGATCATTAGGTGGGGTAGGCAGGCTTGGGACCTCAGGGCCGGGAAGCTGGTGATTGAGAACCTATTCTGAGGAGGTGGGGACGACACAGGAGGCGGGGCACATGTAAACCACATCTATAATCCTCTGGCACATGCTCCATTGTTCCATCGAACTTCACTTACAAAACACAGATTCAAAGATAAAATTATTAAGAACTCTGAGAAAGTAACCAAAGAGCATTCAGTCCTAAGTATAGGGCCTTTCTGAATACAAGGCCCTGTGTGACTGCACTGGTCATAAGCCCGTGAAGACAGCCCTACAGAGAAGTCTGTTCGTACAACATAGGTTATACTAGAAAATGTAATAAACCAAACTGTTCATCAATAAGCAATTAAATAAAGAAACTGGTCCAACCACACAGTAAAAAAGATCATGCAGCCAGCAGAAAATGAGACAGGTCTATAGATACTAACACAGACAGCTGTCCAACATTCAAAGAGGATTATAGAATATTATGTATGTCATGATCTTGTTAAAATACTTCTATCTCTTTATCGCTCTCTCAATCTCTCTCTCTGTCTAATGGGACATTAAGAGGGATACCCCAATATCTTAAAAGTGATTAAAAAACACAGATGAACTTTTATATAAAACACAAACAGACTCACAGAGATAGAAAACAAAACTATGGTTACCAGAGGGGAAGGGAGTGGGAAGGGATAAATTGGGAGTTTGAGATTTGCAGACATTGACTGGTATACATAAAATAGATACACAAGTTTATACTGTATAGCACAGGGAACTATATTCAATATCTTGTAGTAGCTTAAGGTGAAAAAGAATATGAAAATGAATACATGTGTATTCTTGTATGACTGAAGCATTGTGCTGTCCACCAGAAATTGACACAACATTGTCAACTGACTATATTTAAATTAAAAAAAAGTGATTAGAGGAGGAAGGAATTTTTACTTTTTTATACCTATAATATTTCATGAACATTATACCTATAATATTACGTGAACATACATTGTTTCTGAAATTAAAAATATGATTAAAAAATTCAACACTTAACACCTAGAAACACCTGTCTGAACCACAGTGAAATATGTTGGCTTCATTTCATTTCATGACATAAAAATACCATGGAAAATAATCTTCCTGACCTGTAAAAGACTGCTCATTAAAACCTCTACCATTCTTTTTACCTTTTCCTTTAATTCTTACCATCGCTGCTGGGCTCTTCAACAGGGGATGCTGAGTCTATACAGCCAAGGACTCCCTTTGTGATCTCAACCACCTGAAGCCTCCTGACCCTGACTAGGTCTGTATCTTTCAGTCCTTCCTCCAATTGTTTGACCACCTCTTTTCCAGGCTGTGAAGTCAGAACAGTAATCTGGAAATAAATCAAAGAATCAACATGTCTACTTTTCCTGATGTACAGAGTGAAGGACAGAAACCCTGCAGAAATCTGTGGTAGTGGCTGTTGTCTTTAGGGCAAAGAAGAAGATTTAATCGTAACTTGCAAATCAAATTTCATTTGACAAATTCTGGTGGGAGAGGTCTGGTGGGCAGATCATCACAGGACTCTTCCAAACAGGCTGAGCCTACCCCAGAAAGTTACCAGTGAGAGGCCATCAGTGTATTTTAGTATTTTTAGGGTTGAATGAATCACTTGCAGTATCTCTCCTGCTTAAAGTGCTTTGATTTCACTAGGAAACAAAGGAAATAGAGTCCTTAAATTCCACTCACTAAATATCAGAGATCCTATATGCCGTCTTCTCACGGTGGTGCCTCCATGTAGATTTCTCTCCTTGCTCAACCAGGATCCAGGTTGAACTCGAAACTCCGGAAGGCAAGTATTAAATATAAGCAATTCTCTTTTGTACTTAGACACTTCTAATTGATGAAGAAGGATGCAAATGAAAGGATAATTCTTTAAACTCATTTGTTTGATGCCTGATGTTATCAGAACTCAGAGTCAGTCATGCACCCAATGGAGTATCTGTCATGACCTTCAATGTGTATGAAACAGAGAACAGGATAAGGATGACCAACAATGAAGGATCTAGATGGACTGATGGGAAGACAGCTTAGAGTCCTAAGGGCAGCATCTCTTACCTCCAGGGAAGTGTAGGTCAGAGCTGTACCCGTGGTCACGTGTCTGCTGTACTGTTTGAGCTGCTGGAGCCCATCCTCTACTGCCAGCTGCAGAGAAGTGCCTTGTGGTCTGAAACAACCTTCTCTTTGCAATAAGCGGAGTTCTGAGATGCAGGCCTGCAGCCTTGCAAAGTTCCCTTTTACTTGCTGCAGAGAAAATACCAACCAAAGATGCAAATCTTTAGTGACCTAGGTTTCAGATTAACTGTCTAACTTCATTATCAATTACTCCTCAGGAGTACTTTTGCCTCCTTGAAAATCTGTTTATTTGACCAAGATCTACAGAATGCCTATTATGTTTTAGGCACTAGACCAGAGGAAGGAAAATTTGCAGTCAAAGGCTTTGATTATGTGGAGTTACTAGAAAAAGGAAAGAATGTGTTTTACATATTTGCTCACCCAAAGGAAGGTTCAGTTGTGACTGCTAGTTTTTGTTTTTTTCAAATTGGATAACTCATTTTTAATTTAAAGACACAGGTTAAAAGTGGAAGAATAGGGAAATATATCCTATGCAAATACAAACAAAAAGCAAGCTGGAGTCACTATATTAATATCAGACAACGTAAACTTAAGAACAAGGAATATTACAAAAGTTAGAGAGGGACATTTTTTAAACACAATTAAAAATTTTTTTTGTATTTTTTTGGGGGGGTAATTAGGTCTTATTTATTTATCTTTGATAGAGGTACTGGGGATTGAACCCAGGGCCTTACGCATGTTAGGCATGCACTCTACCACTGAGCTATACCCTCCCCCACTCCATTTACAGTTGTGACTGCTTAATTTTACTTTGGGGTAGTTTAGGCAAATTGGAGCCCTAGCAGCATTGCTCTTAAACATTATCTTCATTTCTTAGTCAGTCTAGGCACTGGGAGCTTCTCTATTCAAGAGTGATGTTTTGCCAGAAATGGTTAATCATTTTAGAACTGATAAGGTCCAACCTAATCTACTCCTCAGGATCGGTCACTCCAGTAAAGAAGAGATGCTTGGCTTAGTCTGCAGTCAGGTCAAGGAAACAACATGTAAACCTCTTGGTTCTCCTCACCCTCCTTCACAAAAACTTGTTTTCAGTAAGTAATCTGATTTAATTAGACTCTAGATCAATGTTACATTTCCTAAGAATATATGTATTTTGAATAAGTGTCAAGTTAAAATTTCTGACATTATTTAAATAACATATGTATATTACATATATATATCTTTAAGATGTTTAAAGAAATAAAAGAGGGTATCAAAACCATGAACAAAGAATTAAAAAGCTATCAAAAAAGGACCAGAAAGATTTGAAAATGATCAAAGAGAATTTCTAGAAATTAAAACATAGCAATTAAAAAAAACCTTCAATGGGTTAACTGACAGATTAAACACCACTAAAAAGACAATTATTGAACTGGGGAATAAAACTAAAAAAGTACCACAGAACACAGCCCAGAGAGCCAAAAATACAGAAAATAACATGTTTATTTACATGTTAAGAGAAATGGAAGAAAAAGTGAGATCTAATATTTGTTTAATTAGTTCCCCTTTTTAGAAAGCTCTGGTTGACCTAAATCAGTCCCCAGACTTCAGCCAACTTACAGACCCAGAAAACCTTGAATGAAGGGGACGTGGGGCTCCCTTGGGGAAGGACCCCAGTACATTACCAAAAATTTATGCTGTTAGTCTTTCTCCCAGCCTTCCCCAAAGGGACCTACAGCCTTTTACCAGGGTAACTATAGATTGAGGAAAAGGGAATGATCAGACCTTGCAGGGTCTATGGGACACTGGCTCTGAACTGACACTAATTCCAGGAGACCCCAAACATTATTGCCCACTAGTCAGAGTAGGGGGCTAATGGAGGTCAGATTTAGACCCCTGATCTAATCAACGAAGGTTTAGATCAGGTCCAGTTGTTCCCCAAATGCACCCTGTGGCCATTTCCTCAGTTTTAGAATGCAAAATTGGAATAGACATACCTAACAGCTAGCAGAATCCCCACACTGGTTTCCTGACCTGTGGAGTGAGGGCAATTACATTGGGAAAGGCCAAGTGGAAGCTCCTAGAACTGCCTCCACTTAGGAAAATAATAAAAGTAACAGTGCCTTCCTGGAGGAATTGCAGAAATTAGTACCACCATCAAGGACTTGAGAGATGCAGGTGTGGTGATTTCTACCACACCCTCCTTTAACTCACCTATCTGGCCTGTGCAGAAGACAGAAGGATCTTGGAGACTGACAGTGGATTATCAGATGTGGCTTCATTGCTTGAGCAAATTAACACATCTCCCAGTACCTGGTATGCAGTTGTGGATCTGGAAAATGCTTCTCCATTCCTGTCTATAACACCCCACAGAAGCAGTTTGCTTTCAGCTTCAAGGCCAGCAATACACTCTCACTGTCCTACCTCAGGGGCACATCAGTTCTCCAGCCCTATGTCATAATTCAGTTCACAGGGAGTTTGAGTGCCACTCCCTTCCATACGCTATCACACTGGTCTATTACATTAATGACATGGTGATTGGACCTAGTGAGCAAACTACTTTAGCAACTACTTTAGACTTACTGGTAAGACATTTGCATGCCAGAGGGTAGGAAATCAACTGGACTAAAATTCAGGAGCCTTCTACTTCAGTGAAATTTCTAGGGGTCCATTGGTATGGGGCAAATTCAGATATTCCATCATAAGTGATGAGTAAGTCTGTTGCTTTTGGAGTAGGAGAGAGATCTAGAGGTCAAGTTTCTTTTTAAACACAAGTTCAACATCATTCTACTTTTAGCTCGTCCTTCTTTCTTACCTCCAGAAGTTGATTTTGCCAATCCTAAGCCTTTTGAGAACCAGGTGGTTTAAATTGCTTTCTTCCTTGGGTTTCCCCAGTATTGACTTGAGATTTAGCATTCTTGGGACTGTTAAATCAATGATTACTTTTCACCTGTATTATAGCTTCCAAAATTTGATTTTTTTAAAAAAATTTTATTCATTTATTTTTTTGGTGAGGGGAGGTAATTCAGTTTACTTATTTTTAGAGGGGGTACTGGGGATTGAACCCAGGGCCTTGTGCATGCTAAGCATGTGCTCTACCACTTGAGCTATACCCCCCCCACTCAAACTTTCATTCTGATTTTTTCTCCTCTTACTCAGCAAGCATTCAAAATTCAAAATTCAGAGGTTACATGTTATGTAGAAAAAGTCACCTTTCTTTTCTAATTCTTCACCTAACTGGTAGGTTCCTAGAGGCAATCGATATTACTAGTTTCTTAGGTATCTTTCCAGAGGTATTTCTTTACGTGAAAGAAAATATAAATAGTAAACTTTATCTTTCTTCTTACCAAAATAGAAGAGATTATGATACTCTCTTCTTGATTTTTTGCATAGTATATTGGGCAATTATTTCACTCAATAGATAAAAAGCATTGATTTTTATGGCTACATAGTATTCCATGAATAGATGGAATGTAAGTTTATTTAACCAATTCCCTTTTGATTGATAGCAGGTTACTTCCAATCTTTTGCTACTGCAAACAATGCTGAAACAAATAACCTTAAATCATTTTTGCACATATGAAAATATATCTGTAGGATAAATTTCTAAAAGCAGACTTGCTAGGTTAAAGGGTGTGTAAATTTTGATACTGTCACCAAATTGCCCACTATAGAAGGTGTCAATTTCATTGTGCAGTTGATTCTATCCATGGAAGATTTTTGTTTTTAATTTTTCAGTTCTAAAATTTCTATTTTGTTTTTCTTTACACTTCTATTTCTTTGATGACATCTTGTATGTTTCCATTTGTTCTAAGCATGTTTATAACTGTTTGCTGGAGCATTTTTATGATGGCTGCTTCAAAATCCTTTTCAGGTAATTCTAACATCTGTGTCTGTGTTGTCTTTTCATTCAAGTTGAGATTTTCCTGGTTCTTAATCATCTTAAGTGTTTTTTTTAAAATTGTATTCTCGACTTATTATGCTATAAGACTCTGGATCTTGTTTAAATCTTACGCTTTAGCAGGCCTAGTTTAACACTGTGCCAGAGGGGGAAGTAAGGTTTCCACATAATTATGCCCAGGTCGGGGTGTGCCTCTATTTGACTTCTGATTATATCCCAGGAGGGAGGGTACGCTGTTACTTCTGGGTGGGGATGGAAGTTCAAGTTTTTCATATGGGCCCCATTGACACCCTGGGAGTAGGGAAGCTTTATTACCACCAGGATTTCCAGTAGGAAAAAAGTCCTAACAGTCCTAGCTTTCCACTAGGACTTCACTGACATCACCCTGCCTTGGAGGTAAAAAGATGCCTACCTCACTGCCACTCCCCACATGGCCTCCACTCTGCCTCCTCCTCCATTACCTTAAAAAGGAGGTGGGGGTGAGAGATACCTTGTTATGTTGGATGGGGTGCGGGGAGTCCAGGCCTCCGCACAGCTTCCATGGACACTAGGAGGGAGGAGGTCACGTGCACACTAGGTATGAATCAAAGGTCTGGCTCTCCGTAAGTCCTTTCTGACTATCCCAGCAGCAAGGCTGCTTCAGGAAGAGGATGCACCAGGACCTCTGAAGTCTTTCCCATCTCTGTGACTCTGAACGTGGTAAAGGGGGAGAGTGAAGATTTACATTTGTTTGAGGAAGAAAAGCAACGGCTGTCTACATGTGAGGGAGCTTTGCAAAAGCATTGGGCCCCGGCCCAGCCTTTGCTTTCTGAAACCCTACGAGGAGTTTCACTTGAGTCCTGCGTGCAACTGTAGAAAAAATATTTTAATGTTGCTGCACAGTTAGGGCTTTCTGAGAGAAAAAAAAAATCTCGAACTGGGTTAAAGGACAAGTCTTGGAAATTAAAGGGTGATTGAATAGCCAGAGACCTCTGAAGAAATTTAAGAGATTTATTTCCCTGTGTTTGCATTTCAAAGGGAGACGGAAGAGGTCAGTTCCTTACATTCCAAAAGACTGTAAATGCCAAGGTTTCTTCCACTCTCTCAGGAGTGGAGGGGATAATATGTGGCCGATTCAAACTCCCGTATTAGTACTTTTGGGGTTCCTCTTCTGCAGTAATCCCCCCCCCAATATATAGGATGACATCAGGCTCTCATTGTGGTGCCTGTGGGGTATTGGAGATGGGGAACGGGCACAGTTATTGCTGTAAGAAATCTCTCAAGAAACTGCTGCTCCAGAAACCTCACATCTGCTTTCAGGAGAATATGAACAAATACAGATATACTCACCACAAAGGGGAGGATGCACTCATGCTGATTTTGTACCATGTATAAGCTGAAGAGGGACATGCGGCTGGGGCCTACCAAGCTGCAGGCCAGTGAGAAGAAGTTCTGCAGAGCCTCACAGAGGTTGGAACAGATGTCAGCCCAGGATGGGAGAGTGATGTGCACGATGAGAAGCCTTGGAGGTTGCTGGTAAATCTGCATGCAATGAGAGGACCCTTTGCCAGTAGTTTGCCCATGATACATGGCAGCCAGACCAGATGTGGAACTGTAGCCACACCTGGATATTCTCTACACCTACAGGGAAGAAAAGAGAAATTGCTGGCTTTCATAAACCTGAATTACATTATATACTCTGTTGAAACAATGAACACAGGTCTAGGTGACTAAGTCTAGAAAGCTTCTCTAGGTACTAATGCAAGCTTCTCTAGGCTATTCCATCTCCCCCACCCCCCACTTTTCTTTCTTTTTTTTTTTAATTGAGTTATAGTCAGTTTACAATGTTGTGTCAATTTCTGGTGGACAGCACAATTTTTGTCATACATGAATATACATATATTCATTTTCATATTCTTTTTCACCATGAGCTACAAGATCTTTAACATATTTCCCTATGCTATACAGCATAAACTTGTTTATCTATTCTATATATACCTTTCAGTATCTACAAATCTCAAACTCCCAGTCTATTCCTTCCCACCCGCCTCCCCACTGGCAACCACAAGTCTGTATGTCTCTATATCTCTGAGTCTGTTTCTGTTTTATATTTAAGTTCATTTGTCTTCTTTTGTTTTTTCAGGTTGCACATATAAGCAATCTCATATGGTACTTTTCTTTCTATATCTGGCTTACTTCACTTAGAATGACATTCTCCAGGGACATCCATATTGCTGCAAATGGCATTATGTTGTCATTTTTAATGGCTGAATAGTATTCCATTGTATAAATATACCACAACTTCTTTATCCAGTTATCTGTCGATGGACATTTAGGCTGTTTCCATGTCTTGGCTATTGTAAATAGTGCTGCTATGAATACTGAGGTGCAGGTGTCATTTTGAAGTAGGGTTCCTTCCAGATATATGCTCAGGAGTGGGATTACTGGGTCACATGGTAAGTCTATTTTTAGTCTAGGCTATCCCATCTTAACAGCTCCCAAGGGACCTAGATGTTTGCCTATAATGTAAGGCTGAGAATGCTTAGAGATGTTGAATGCAACTAATCAAAAACTCAAACTTCAGTCTCAAAGAAAGCTAACTGCCTTTATAGAATCTGATCTTTATTAGCATTTATTGTACTGTATTGTAATTTGTTTCTAAGACTGCCTCTGCCACTGTATTGTGAGCTTCCCAAAGATGGAGGACCTGTCTTGTCAACTCTATCAGAGCTTAGCACAGTGTTTATTTGGGACATAGTAATTTTTTTTTTATTAATAGACTTTATTTTTTAGAGCAGTTTCAGGTTCACAGCAGAATTGAGCAGAAATTACAGAGTTCCCATGTATCACTCCCCACCCACACATATATACTCCCTCAGCCTCAACATCCCTCATCAGTGTGGCATATTTGGTACAATCGATGAACCAACATGGGCACATTATTATCAACTGAAGTCCATAATTTACATTAGGGTTCACTCTTGATGTTGTACACTCTACGGATTTTGACAAATGCATAATGACATGTAGCCACCACTATAGTATCACGCAGAATAATTTCATTGCCCTAAAAATCCCTTGTGCTACATTTATTTATTCCTCCCTCCCTCTCCCCAAATCCCTGGAAACCATGATCTTTTTATTGTTTCTGTAGCTGTGCCTTTCCCAGAATGTCATTTGGTTGAAATTGCACAGTTTGTCGCCTTTTCAGACTGGCTTCTTTCATTTACTAATATGTCTTTCAAGTTTCTTCCACGTCTTTCATGGCTTGATAGCTCATTTCTTTTTTTATAAGTGCACACATGTTTTTAAATTTCCATATATATGGTGCATAGTAATTCTTAAAAATGAAAATATAACCACATTTTCCCCTTCAGGACCCATTCAAGACCCATTCCTCACTTCAAGCTTTTCAGTGAAACAAAACCAAATATACCATTCATTTCAGTGCATTTGCTCATGCTGTCTTCTCTACTTCTGACACCCTTGCCTTCTTTGTTTACTGGCTACTTACACTTATCCCCAGGGCTCAGATTTTGGAAAGGAGAACAAATGGGAACACAGAACAAGCATCAGCAGTGAGACGGGGACACCGTTACAGATGCCCAAACATGGAAAGGGTTACAAGAGGACATAATGAACAGCTTTATACCAGTAAGTTTAATAAAATGGACAAATTGCTAGAAAAAACATATTTAACCAATACTAAATCAAAAAGAAAATTAAAATACCTAAATAGTCTCTAACCACTGAAAACATTTAATTGGTAGTCAAATATGTTCCCCAAAAGTATCTGTAGGGCTACGTGATTCCACTGATGAGTTATATACTACTCTCAAAGATCAAGAATTTCAATCTTCAACAAATTCTTTCAGAAAATAGGAGAGGGCACAAGACTCATTTAATTTTTACTAGTTTAGCATAACCTTTGATACCAAAATCAGATAAAAGTATTACAATAAAAAATTATAGGACAGTCTCATTTATGAATTGAGATGTAAAAATCCTAAAGAAAGTATAAGCAAATTGAAAAACAGCAATATTATAAAAAGAATAACACATCATGACCAACTTGGGTTTATCTCAAGAACATAAGGTTGACATGGCTTTAGAGACCGTCACTGTAATTCATCACATTAAAAAATCATATGATCAAAATGCAGAAAAACTCAACATTCACGCCTGATAAAGAATCAATCTTAATATATTAGAAAGAGACGATAGATACAATCTGATCAAATATGTTTACAAAAGTCTAGAGCAAATATCATTTTTAATGGTGATGCTGAAAGTTTTCCATCCAAGACAAGAGCCCACTATCGTCATTTCTAATCTACACAGTAGCGCAGTTAGCGATAAGGCAAGAAATAAAAAGAAAACAAAAGGCGTTACAATGGAAGAAATGAAACTGTCGTGCAGATGATATGATATTTATATAGAAAATCTAAAAGAATATATAGTTTTATAATTTTCCCCAAGGCTCTCCTTATCTTTCACTAAATTTTATTTTTAGAGATCTGCTATTTTTTAAATGCTTAATGGCATCTTTTTACATTTCATTTTTTGTTTTGTTGCTAAAGCATAGACATAAAATTGATTTTTATATAATGATTTTGTATTTAACAACACTGCTACACTGTCTTATTAGTTATAATAACTTATCTATAGATTCTTTTGGACTTTTTGTTCACAATCATTAATCCGTGAATAATGACATGCATTAGGATGCATGAACAAAGTCAGATCATAGCAGCAAAAAGACTATTCATTAATAGTCTTGTTCACAATTACCCTAGACTTCAAACAACGCAAATTTCAATCAACATTAGAATGGATAAATTCTGTATTCACACAGCGAGGAAAATGAATGACTAGTTACATGCAATGTGGATGGCTCTAAGAAACAGAATATTGAATAAAAGAAGCAAGACACAAAGAAATATATAGCATGATTCTATCTACATAGATTTTAAAGATAAGCAACTATATTGTTTAGGGATGTGTACATAATGCTAAAACTATTTTTCAAGAGCAAGGGGATGATTATGACAAAAATTAGTGTAGTGATTTTCTCTGAAAAGCAAGGAGGGCATGATTAGAAAGGACAAAAGGGGAGGTTGTGGGATGTCAGCAGTGTTCTATTTCTTGATCTTTATTGTGGTTACAATGGGTACTCACTGTATAATTATTAAACTACATGTTCATAGTTTATGAAATTTTCTCTAATATGTTATATTTAACAATAAAAATATTTCAAAAAGAACACTGGACAATCATAAAAGAATATATTTTTTAAATTAAAAAAAACACACCCCCACCTCTGGGAACTGAAATGATTCTGCACAATTGTTTTTTAGCTAAAGAATTCAGGGAAAACAAAAGCTTCTTTGACTTCCCCTAGGTCCAAAAGAAAGATATTTAAGATAATTTTCAGAAACACTTTGGAACTTGGGATTTTTAAAAATGGTCTAAGAGTACATAGATAGATGTGTTTCTCAAAATGAATCTGTGAAGTTATTTCCTTTCAAACTTTCCGTTTTTGGATAGTGGAAGTCAGCATTTGTTCATTCAACAGTTTTTTACTGAGCTCCAATTGTGTGCTGTGTACAGCTGAGCAAAGAAGTAAATGAATATGCTTACCTATAGGAAGTTATCTTGAACCAGAAATCCAAATCAATGAGTAATATATATTTACCAAGAAAGCACATATCATAAATACCTTTTAACTGTACTTTTAAACTAAGTGCATGAGATCATTGTAATGCTGAGTTTGAGGCTGACACACAGAGTCACGTAGACAAACAGGTACCCAGACAGAGACCTTATTTGATGTAGAATGGGCTTCTGTTCTCCCTGTCCATCTTCCCTCACATCTGAAACTTCTGTCATTTTAGAGTACAGGCAGTTCTAATTTTACATGGTTCCAAGATATACAAATTTCAGTTATGATAGTTTAGTTAATTAACATCACTCCCCCATCAACACAGTTCTAATTTCACTTACCGAGGAATATTACTCATAATTACATAAAAGTGCAAGCCGCAGTCAGCTCTTCAGCCCACCAGTCGCTCCATAAATAACACACGCACATCATGATCAGTGATCAATCATGTCACCTCTTTCAAAGTTTGCTGGTGACTGGTCACCGCAGAGCTCTTATTCAGTCTCTGTACAGACGGCAGAGCATATTTGTTTTAATTACCTCCTAGTGATAACTAGTTTCCTAGTGATAAAACCACACCGACGTCTTACAAAAATAGATAACTGAAAGAGGGAACTGGCCAACAAAGATGAATGTGGAGCAAAGAAACAGTAAGTGGTAACACTGAAAGTGAGAGTTGACTTTAGATGGAATCACAGAAGAAAGAGCTGACTGTGAGAACACTGACAGCAATGCTGTTTAACAGACTTTTGATGAGCAAAAGAGGAATTTAGTAAAGGTGAACTTAGCAACACAAGTGAGCAAAGTGGTTGTGACACAAAGTATAAAGCTGCCCCAGAAGAAGCGCCACTGGCAAAAACACTTCATATTAAAGGAACTCTGGGAGATAGTTTACAAAATTGAAAGTGCAAAGGATAAAATGCTGGAAGTTGATCCAGACCTTTAGAAAGGAATAGAACAATTTGGTAAAAGGCATAAGAAAGACACTTGCTCTACAAGTTACACCATGAGAAGAAAACAAGCACAAGAGCTGCTCAAACTATTCTTGATTAATTTTTTTACAAAGAAAACACTTTCCCAAGTTTCTAATATTTTCAATGACAGTGCACTAAACAGATACTAGT